AGGGAAAGTGAAAGCAAACAGGACCTTTGTGAGTGTATGCTCCTTGGCCAGCTTGTGTGTACAAATGGCTTTGCTGTGGAACTTGTTTTGCCTTCAGCACTAACTGAAATAATTAATGCTGGGGCAGTGAAGGCTACCAATGCAGATTCTCCTAAGCAGTTCTTATACTTGAAACGTAAAATGTCAGGTGAGAATAAAATACTACCCACCCAGTTTAATTGCAGGTTAGTATTTGTGCTTCTTCTTAATTGGGGTGGTTGATATTTATGGCTTTTATTTTTATGGCTTTTATTTATTGATACTTACGGCTTTTACTTCCTTGCAGGGTCAAGTCCAAGGCGGTTTTCGATCAGGAATCCGAATAGCCCAAGGCTCTTATTTTCGTGTAACACTCCTAAAGCCAATTCCAGTTCAAGTTGATGGAGAGCCCTGGATTCAGGCCCCTGGCCAGATTATAATTTCTGCTGCAGGACCAAAGGTATTGGCTGTAGGTCTCTCTTGGCAAGTTGACTTTGTTTCTCCATTGAATGCTATTGTATTATCTTGTTGGTTGTGTTCTGATGCTTAACCTCTAAGGAGCTAGTCAGCACAGCGTGGTAACTGTTGTAGCAGTTTCTACAAAGGGTGGTTTGAGGGCTCTCCCCAGTGGCTCAGATGAGGCTGATGTTTAAAAGGGTAGTCCCTGAGCTTCAGCCTAGTGACAATTTTTTCCTCTCCAGGAAATCCTGGAGATTGGGATCTCCAGGCAGTGTTGCTTGCCTTGACTTGCCTTGACTCAGAGTTATAAGGACCATGGTAGTACTGCAGTGTGCAAGGTAGGAGTTAGTCTGCTGGAGAAGGGAAGGTCTGTCAGAGAGTAGCAAAGGAGAAAAATTAATAATGGAGGAGGAGGGTCTGCAAAAAAGAGACTTTGGAGTAATCAGTGTCTGTTCTTCCTTGGTATCTGAATATGTATGTGAAAGGAAGACAGCATCAGCTGCCTAAGAATTTAACATCTCATTGACATTGCAGTAGTTAGCTGTGATGCACACCAGTCCACACATTTGCCTGCTACCTTAAGGATGCCTTTTCAACTCTCAGAAATTTGTTGCTACAGGCAGTCTCAGAGAATATGTAGCTCTAATGGAAGAGCTACAATGGCTCTTGCAGGGGAGAAATGGGTGAAAGAGAAAGTCATACCTCATATGTTTCAGAATACATTAAATTTTGTTCTTTTCCTGAGAAAAAGGGGGGGGAAAAACAGAAAGAGAGAACAAACCTAACTTGTCCTTCCATGAGAAACATTTCTTATCTTTCTATCATGTTAGTTACTAGCAGTATTATCTGTATATATGTGTGTACAGGAATATCTATGCTCACACATACATCTATATACATAGCATTCATACACATGGTCATGTGAAAAAAGCAGTTAATCCTGTCGCTTTATAAGGACAGGTGCATCAGGCAGTTGTGTATGGAAGTGTTTTTCTGTTGCAGTTCCAGCATTTTACTTGGTTGTTAGTTAGTTGCCTTAGATCAGCTTATTGGTGACTACAGATACTTTAAGACTCACTCACTTTCTCGTAAAACTTTCACTTTTAGGTCCATATGTTGAAAAAATCCAAGCAGAAACAGAAAAAAACTGGAAGCCTGAGAGAGATGAAAGTGGATAGCATGTCAGTCTCTGAAGGAGGACGCTAAGTGCAGACCTGTGTTCAGAAGCGATCCAGCACACTTACTGTAGATACCAAGCTGGTTTAGTAAAACCAAGTGCGGACAACTAGTGAAGAGGGTTGTTGATGAGTGTGCCTTTCATTGCATTTTGATAGTACTGGATTCTACTTTGTCCTTCAAATACAGTGCCTCACAAACAATTATTATGTACCACTTGTTTCATCTGAAATGTTTACTTTGGGTTGCTTTTCCATTAGCCATATCCCTGCTTCCCAGCCAAACAGAGATTCCAAGATGCTGAGATTTCTGCATTTGCCTTCACAAAGACTCTTCCCCTCCTCCCAGATCCTTCTGAAAGAAAATCATTCCATAGATAAGTTTTAGTGAATTGTTCCATAAATTAAAATATGTTCCTTAAAATTAATGCTTGCAATAATGTCCTAACCAAAAAAAGGCAAAGACAGGAGCTACGGAGGACTCCTTGGATCAGTCTAAATAGCACAGCTAAAACTGTACTACCGTAAAGAGAAAAACACAAAACACAGGAGAGATGATTTCTATAAAAGGAGCCCAGTGCACTGGGAAGACAGAAAGTACTAGAACAGTTGAGTCAGAATATTTCAGAGAGTTTACTTCAATAGTATTTGGACAATATGAATGAAGGGGAAACAGCCTGTAGAACAATTTTTCAGCTGCAGCTTAGTTTCTCATTATTCAGCCCAAGCCTGTTTTAAAAGGCATTTGAATTTGAGCAGCTACCACTTTAACATTAAAAAAGGAACAAGAATACCCAAGGCAGTATTATGTTATGCCAATTTTTTTCTATCACTGGTCAACATCATACACAAGGGGCCCTGGGAGCTACTTATGAGGATGGGGGAGGCTGCATGGTTTTGCCACTTGTATGCATCTGCTGCTTGTGGCTGCTTAAGCTGTGTTGGCTAGAGCCCACATAGCCAGATGGTGGGCTTACTTCTCCTCTATTGCACAGTAATAACTAACTCAGCTATGGATGGCATGAATTCATCACTCAAGTGTCAGCTTTAGGGGCATTCCTCTTGAAAGTGTGTCTAGAAAACATCTCTAGCTGCTTCAGGGGGACTGAAGTGTAACTCTGAAATACACAGAAGATGTTTTGTGATGGAGCCAGTTAGGTGCTGTGGCAGTTGTTGGGTCTTGTTGATGAATCTGCACTCTAAGCAGTGTGCGAGCTTCAGCAACATCTGATTATTACCTGTGCTCTCTACTTTCCAGTCATCATGCAGACAAAGATGTGAATGTGGGTGCTACAGGACAGTCATCTGCAGCAACAGACTTAATACAGCTAAAGCTATAAACAGAGATAAAACAGCCACGCAAAAATAGCAGCTGCTTGCAGCCTCTCCTACCTTCCTGCCTACTGAGTCCTTCTGGTCTTACTGTTGTGGTAGAGATGCAGTTGGAGGACTGACTCCTGTTTTCTGTTAAACCTTATTAATTCTTTAAATTCTTAATTTAATTTCAGGGATGTTCTTCAGGTCTCACAGTCTGGACTACCACTTAACTTTTATTCAGCATGAAAACTGGATTCATGCTGTGAAGGAGATAGTTTGGATAGTTCAAAGCTAAAATCCTTGACTTCCTGATCATTTAAACACAGGGTTGTCTGCTGCAGAACCTGGGCATGAAGGATCAGCTGGAGCTCTTCTGCCATCCTGGTACCAGCATTACAAGTAGGATAGGTGAAGTGTTTTATTTCAGGCTGTGCACTCTTGGGATGAAGCTCACAAATTAGAGAGGAAATCTGAAATAGATTGCTGCTTCATAATTGTCCAGAAGGTCAGAGAAACTGCCTTGCATCCTTGGGGCAGCAGAAAGAATGCATGGTCTACTTTCCAGTTGTTTATTCGGTAATGGAGAGGAAAACTTGACTTTTTGTTACAGAAAACATATGTAAACTTTAAGATTGCTGGTACTGACCGTGTTCTGCAGGCCAGGTAAATAAACCTGTCTTACTCTTTTCCCAGACGTACATAACCCTGTAGCATGTAGCTGACAGTGTTTCAAGTTCTTGGCTTATTAACGACCTGGCTGTCTCTCCCTTTTGCTCAGTACCTGTTATCAGAAATAACATGACACTCGAAGGTCACAGTATTTTAATCAGGGGGCCCCTTGCTGTGGCATATCCTTCCCAGGGGATTTTCCATCTCTGGTACTCCATACAAGTTGTCTCAGGGTAGCATCTTGGTCGCAAGGTGACACTGAAGTATGAATGTATTCTCACTACTTCCAGAGGGGATCCTGGTGGACGGCCAAAAAGTCCAGCTGCCATATGTTCTTTTATCAGATAAGTGCCCCACTGGAATGAAATTGTATCTTGAGAAAAACGCAGGTCTCTCTGCATCATAAAATTGCTTAATGTGTTTTGATGACAAAGCAGGTTCCTGGGCAGTTGAGATAGGAAATGCCATGTAAAGCTTTTAAAAGGAGAAAATCACTCTTTAACCCTTCTATGAAGACATTCCAGTTTCAGGTTCTGTAAAGGCCGGTATGTCAAGAAAATATAAATAAATATTACAGAGTCTAAGAATCACAGAATCAGTTAGGTTCCTTTCAAATACCCCAGTACTGGAGGTGAGAGAAGGTGTTCAGTTGGTTAAGATCTGTTTTGATGGATAAAGACATCACCTTGAATTAGGAGAACTGAAATTCAAAAGATCATCCCTGAAATACAGGTGCTACTTCAGAAAATCTGATGCTTTTTTCCCCTGGCTTTTACCCTTGATCTGTATATTTTAAATTGCTGGTGTTTTTCACTGTATTGATTTTTAAATGAAACTGTTACTTTGCCAAAAACTTACGTGTACATGTGTGTGTGTACATATATGCATATACATACATGTGCACGCACTCTTTAAAAATACACCTTATTGTATTTCCTTCCACAGTGCCTAATTGTACAGCTTTTGCTCTGTTACAACATTCAGATAGCACTCACTTCTGGATCTTTCTCTCAGCAGTTTGGGATGGGAAGCAGTATTGAGCTTTTCAACAAGATGTGATGGCAGTATAGTGAAAGCATGACTGTGTTTAGAGTACAGTCTCTGCATGAATACAGTTTGAGCTCCTCTTGTTCTTTGTAGAATTTAATCAAGTCTCTGTCTAAAATCAATGACAGTGGTTATTGTAGCATTTTAAAAACTAGAAGAAGCTGTAGCATAATCCACTGCAAGACTTAACGATGGAACAAAACTAAACTAACTGTTATAGACAACTGTTTGTTAATCTTCACAGTTACCCTCCTGCAAGTATTGTACAGATTGCATTTCTTTAAAGAGCAAATAATATACTTGTTATGAATACCAGCTGTTTCAAATTGCTAAGCATTTACATGTGTATCTGGCTCTGTAGCAGTGTGTTGGCCTATAAATGTGTCATTATCAAATGAAGCCTCAATATGTGGGAGGAGAAGGTAAGAGGAGGTGTTGAGACACTTAAAAAGGACTTACATTGAAGACACAGCAGATTCAGCTGCTTATGTATTTAATAACTTACTGACTGTGCAAGCAAGTGTGCTCTGTGTGGCATGGCCTCTGGTCCATATTCCAGCACTGAAACTGGGGCTGCATTAGAGTTGCACACTTGAGACCTGGCAGTATATACTCTTTCAGTCTGCACCACTTACCTCCTCCTTACAACCTTCATAGTAACTGTACATCTTCCTCTTCTGCCAGGCTGCCCTCCTGCCCTTTGGGCCTAGTGGTGAAACTGCTAACAGAGGCATGACCACGTGCTGGCAAACGTGCATGGACAGTGGGGGAATGGAGTTCTGCACTGGAACACTGCTCTGGCCATTGGGCTTAGACTATTCATTAATTTCTACTTCAGCCTCTACTTTAGCCATTTAACAGCTGTGCAGCAAAGACTTGGCAACTACTGAACTACCTTGGATTCATGGTGATGACATTGCCTCATTTTCAGGCTTTGATCATATATGCACCAGTGCATGTATAACTTCATTATACTTTTTGCACTTAACAGAAAATACATGTTAGAAAGGGTGTGGCGAAATTGCAGTGTTTGTACTTTTTTTGTGTAAATATGGGGATGATTCTACAGATACGAAGATGCACTTTCAGGTAACAATGAAAACAAGTTTGTAGAATGCAACAGTTTAGGAGTTTCTCTGACTGCAGTGTTCCTTATCCCTGTCCATGTCTAATACTGTGTTCTCCTTGAACACCTGCTTGGGAATGAGAGATGGGCTTCTTCCTCCCATCACAGTATGTATTTATAACTGACTGACTGAAAGTTCATGTATGTTTTTAAGCAAATCAGCTGCTATTCTAAGTTTTAGGTTTTACTAGACAGCTTTTATAATGCATAAAAGTAATGTTCCAGTTCTATTTATAATGTAAGGATTTACTGATTTGACACTCAGTTGTAAGAGAGATCCAGCTCAAAGCCTTCATTCCTTTTGCTATGTAATGTTTTGTTGGTTTTTTCTAGTAATGTAGCCATTGTATGTGTGGAGTGCAGTGAAATGAATGCAAATTACTAATCTTAACCTGCAGTTAGAGCAGCAGTTTCAATGTTTACAGAACAGTGACTATTGATTGTAAACACATACATGTCCCTTGAAACAGTGCACTCTTTGTGTGCTTTGGAAGAATTGTTTCTGCTTATCATAATTAATGGAATAGTTGCCTTCTGGTTTTAGATTCCTGTTGGAGAGATTTAAGTGTGGATTATGACACTTCTGCCACAGACTCGTAAGGCAGAATTTCTACTGATACAAGTGTTGTATTGAACATGTTTTCTGAAAGAGTGACTTTATTTTTTGTGAAGATAATTTATGAGAATGTTTTATAAGCAGATCAGTGTTGTTCAAAAAGCTGGTCTGAAGTCTTGAAATCAGTGTGTGTAGATATTAAAGATCTATCCAAAAGCAAAAAGTATTTTTAATAGGGTACTGTTACTGGTGTAGTTACCACTCTGAGCTCATTTAGCATGTCACTGTGCACTGCTCAAGTGTGTTATTTAGGGGACAACTTGATTTCAGAAGTCGTGTCTTCATTTATATTGTGCATATCCCCTATTACACCTCTGGCAGCAACTCCTAATATAAACATCAGCTGTAGAAGGCAGAACTTCTCCCCCATATATATCACTGCAGGTTGAAGAGCAGAGAGCTTGCCC